CATTCTGGCCTGTATTCACTGCTTTTGTCCTCCTTCATGGTTTGGTCAGTGTCTTGCAAATTTAAATAAAATAAAAATAAAAGTATTTGGAAGCTTTTTACACACTGCATTCAAAGCATAGACTGTATATATTCAAACCAATCTGTGACTTCACCACGCACAATGACATGTTTCATTGTCGACAGCCACACTCAGACAGTGTTTCCTTTTTTTCCCCTGGCTGTTGCATTCCACACAGTTTATCAGTGTGGAAGTGGCCTGTGTGTTGTCACAGGCTGGACAAGAATAAGGTTTCATAATAAGACCAGGTGTGCGGCAAGTCTCCGGGTTATTGGATTCTTGGCCCCTTGTTTTCTATTTCTAGTGATTTCTACCCAACATTTGAACATGTGTAGTATCTCCAACCAAGCAGGGAATGTTTTCATTTGTTTTCAAGTAGAATTACAAAAAACCTACTGCATGATATTTTCTGGAGGTGTTTGGAAATAACCCCCCCCCCCAAAAAAATGTGAATTTTTGTGTGGATCCAGGGGTCAGGGGTCGGATCCAGGATTTTTTTTCCCACTTTCTTTAACATTGTGAGATAGGGCACTTTTTTGACACTTTCCTTAATTCCTCAGAGAACAATTCAAGGATCTCTATTAAAGGCATGTTTAGGATTACTGACATTTATGAGTGTATACAATTTGGAGCAGATCCAAATAATAATAGTGATGAGTGTGATTTCATAATGGGGCTATTATGGAGGTATGCACTCTGGAGTTCCCCCACTCTTTCTTTGTAAACTTAAATTACATCTTGTGCACTTTTCCTTGGCGTTAATTCTTGTTATATTGAGATTTGTTGTTTGACTTGTGGACTTTCCCTCTTAATCCTGAAATGCCCAAGTCTCTATGACTTTCAGAAAAAAAGTTATTCAAAAATATCTTGTACTTTTTTAGATTTGGTGGTTTCACCATTTCCGAAGGTCGTAGAAGCTCGGGGATGGACCCAATGGACCGGGCATAGTCACATTAATGGAGATGGAACCAACTTCCAAGTCTCTATGACCTTCAGAAAAAAAGTTATTGAACCCTAATCACAACCCTAACCCTAACCCTCATTGCAACCCTAACCCTAATTCACCATAGGGTGAATAACTCTGCGCTGCTTGCTCGAAACGTGCTGAAATTCGGTGTGGTTGCGTGGCAGGTTACCCTTTATTAATGCAACACAATCCATCACATTACCATGAGAGGATGTTGTGTTTAAATATTTATTCTTATGGCCCCTTCTTCTCGCATGCAGTTATTATTGGATGTTATGAAAAGCAAGTCAAGATGTGAGGAGTTAATCCTTTGCTTTTCCAGTAACAGTTGAGTTCTTACTGAAAGGACATTACATCAAGTTCTGTGCAAGGTTGACATTCAGCACAGCAATAAAAGCTTCATCAAACACTTGAGCTTTTGCATTTGTGATGCATTGAGAAATCTGAGGTATAACTACTTTGATATGATTGTCTTTGGTTTCCTCCTCCAGCTCAAGTTAAGAGCAAATGGACAAAAACTAGCGATGCAGTGGCTTTTTCCATTTCGTTCCTGGTTAATGCTGAACAATGTGTAGAGTATCAAGCTCTAATCACTGTGTGTGTGTGGGGAAAAAAACAGACAGATGAGCAAAAAACTTTATTGATTTAAAAACATATCTAACCTTTTAAAGGTCCAGTGTGTAAGATTTAGGTGAAAGGGAACTAGTGGCAGAAATTTAATGTAGAATAATCCTCATGATGTTTTCACTAGTTCGTTTCATCTAAATTGTATGAATTGTAGTTTTCTTTACCTCAGAAAAGGCTCTTTAYATTCAAATACTTTATATTTAAATACTTTATATTTACATAGAGGGAACCCTCCCTTCCGGAGGCCGCCATGTTTTTTTACATTAGTCCAGACTGGACAAACTAAACCACTTTGAGATTTTATGACAACTGAAGCTTCCACAGGTTCTTTTCCATGTTTGGAAGAGGAGGCTGAGGTGAGGGGTGTTCAGCTGCAACATGCAACTTCAACACTAGATATCACAAAATTCTACACACTGTACCTTTAACCTTTAACTATGGCGTTGAGATAACAAGACCGCTGCTGATGTGTTACAGACGAATAAAACAACAATGCTGAAGCTAAAAGCTTAAGATTTCAGCATCAAATATATTAAAAAAAGAAGAGTCACATAAATGTAGACTGGCAGACTGACTACTCTTACACATATTAACACAAATGCTTTTTTTTGTACAAACAATAACAGAAATGCAAAGTGAACTTGCTTAAATAAATAGCAATGCCACAGGTTAGGAGCAGAAGAGTCATTGAAGAGATGTTGGTATTGTCTCTATGTTAAATATGGTGGATCAGTGGGTGTTGAATCCTGTGCTTGCATTAGGATATTTAAGGTGGGCTGACAAACAACACAAACACTGATAGGGGGTGAGCAGATCCTCTTTGATCGTTTGGTCGTAGCAAAAAACGCATCACAAAACTGATCAGCTGCTATAATAGATCTCAGACAGACAAATTTTAAAACTAATCCTAAAGGAATGGAAAATGTAGAGCTTAGTGATGAATCACTGCTTCTTCAGTTTCTCTCAGTAAGGCAGGTGGTCCCCATTGTCCCCCTGCTCCCTCCGACAGCCTCCCTGTGCAAAGGGACATAAGCTCACCGACAACCACCCTGACCTGGAACAAGGTTGTTGTTGTTGCTGGTTGTGGCGCCCAGGCGATTTCGGAGCCAGAGACATTGACATCATCATGTAAACATATTTAACAGCAAAAGACAACTTTGTGCGAGCGCATGTTCATGTGAGTGTTTGCACATGAGCAAAACCAGAGTCCCTCAAGACATCCCGCAGAAACAGACAACACAGCTCCACGCAATCGAGGCTCCTCCGCCGCTCTGAGGATTCACTCGACTTTGTGTCGATAGATGTCTTTCAAGGCTCGGAGCTCCTCAATCAGAGTCTTGTTTTGATTTTCCAGCACGGCCACGCGATTTTCGAGGCATTTGACGTATTCCTTCTTCTTTCGTCGACACTCCCGGGCGGCCTCCCTGGAAGCAACAACAACAGTTACCATGAAAAAGAGGCATAACACCAAGATACAACAGAGAAATCATTCTATCCTTGAGTCGGTTTAAGACACATTAAGTCACATTACAGGACTTACAAAAAGGATGTCATGAACGCAAAAAAGAAAGCAATGATTAAGTAGTGAAGATAATCATCATGTGGGAGGATGGAGAACATGCAAACAAAGAAAAGTAGGAGGCAGCAGCAGCAGCAGTGACACAATATTGTTTACAGCAAACACAAGTCTGCAAGGTCGTAACAGTGGATCATGACAGTAAAGTCACTCACACTCCAAACATATGTTACAGAGCAGATAATAGGCAGGTAACGTGAGAATCAGCAGTTTGAGGCTGCGGATGGGAGAGAATCGTGAAGCTGAATGATGACAGGTTTGGGCATCTTATCATGACCATGCAATTATTATCATCCACTGGTGTTAGAGCATTATACACAAGACACAGCAGAAAAGGAGACAGGAAGAAGGGTATTTTGGCCCTTACATAGGGTAACTAAGCCAATATTGATATTTACATTTGACTTTCATCGTTAAAATCACTCAGAATATTTTCAGTGATGGTCTCCTGTATGTTTTTGAAAGGACTGGGGCTCCTGATTTAGAAAAATCCTAGATCTGAGACAAACCAAATAGAAGGTTTTCATTAGTGAGCTCAGGTGCTTGTCCAGTAGATGTCCCTGTTGGAAGTCTTTCTGCTAAATTAAACTAATCACCTACTGGCTGTTCCTTCCTCCTCCATTTCCATTTCATCTTGCTCTCAGCAAGAAGGAAATTATATTCTGCAATTTCATGTCATTTTTTTCATTTTCATAAATTTGAAATGGAGACTCTAAATTGACCGTAAGTGGGCATGTGGGAGTGAGTGCTTGTTTGTGTCTGTATATTGTTATGTGCAATATGCGACTGGCTCCAACTGACTCCTGATGAACCTCAAAAGAAGGATAAGCACTATAGATAAGGGATGGATGGAATTTATTCATAAGGGGGACACATTATTCACGAGTATAGCTAATATCAACTGCTAATATCACTGTGAACACTTCTCCTTACCTGTTCTTCATCAAGCGGAGCGCTCTCTTTTGTACAGCATCCTCTCCTGCTCTCTTGGAGCCGTGAGGGCTGGCCCCTGCCATCCCCTGCGGGAGGCTGGAGCTGGGTTTGTGCAGCTGGCAGGCGGTGAAGTCACCTGTGGAGCCTGGGAAGACGCATCACATCAAACATCAGATGACTGTGATTTACTAAACTGGGTTGCAACAGTCAAACTTAACTGATGACTCAGTAAAAGAGATCGGTTGCTGTTGGAAACATCTGTTGCTTCCTTCTATAACGCAATCAATTGTGTAAACAGCAAATCACTATAGTCATAAGCTGTAAAATGTATTGTATATAAAATGTATATTACAATTCTAGGGGGCAAAGCTTTACTCACAATTCTTTGTAAAAAATGTATTATATTTATTTTATTCTTTATTTTATTTGTACATATTGTTATACAGAATGAAAAGCATCAGACTGCCAAAGCACGTGATGACAAATGATATAATAAATGTATAAGCTGTAAATTGTGTCTCTAATTTTTGGTTGCAAAGGTTGAAGCACAACCTTACTGTATGATGTCATTCTCTGATTTCACAGTGATGTCATGATGACGTCATTCCTGCCATACAATCTTTAAAAGCCTTTGGTTACGTCTGTAGTCCTGTGGGATGCAGGCACTTTGCATCATGTCATTTTCTGACTTCATCATGACATCACTTATCATGTGACATCATATAATGGGGAATCATTTTCCAATCATTATCAGCTTTAGATACGTTTTATTTCTATACATTTTCTTGTTTGTTTGTTTTTTGATGTGTATTTTGTGAAGCACTTTGTAACCTTGTTCAGATTAGTGCAATACAAATACATTATTATTAATAATAATAATATTTGCAGATATTATGGGAAATTTGGTTTTTGGACCATATTTTTGTTGAGCTTGACCTTTGACCTACACAAGCAATAATCTCACAAAAATTGGGGGAAACCTTTCCATGTATTGACACACACACACACACACACACACAGATGGGTGAAAACTACCCTACTTGCTCTGCTCTGCTGGCATGCAGGGTAAATATGTGTTTTGGTGTCAGTCCAGTTCAAACAGATAAGACTGTGTGGGAAATACGAGATTACAACAACCTATCCAATGTCATTTGGCAATTAGGTTCATGTTATAAGCATAACATAATGCAATATTAAAAACAGTCAATCATGTTGTTGTTGTGAAGTGTTGATTTTTCATTACGTGTCAGATCATGAATTAGATACTATTAGTTTTAGTATACATTCATGAACTGGTGCACTGGATCCTTTTCATTCAGTGCATCAATTATTTTCAATTTAGTGACCAAACTAACAGTAATCCTTTTCTTAAACTTGTCAGTACGATGTTTTGTTTTCCATTTTTCAGCCAGAGCCTTTCGCTCATATGATCATAAATCATGAGGATGTTTCAGAGTCCAAGTTAAAGTCAGTCTGATTCACTGTCATTTAAATAGGATAAAGATGTCCAAGATTCAAAGGGTTTATTTCTCCCAGGATTCTGTGCTGTGAAACTTAAAGAATAAAGTGAGCACACACAGTTCTCCTCTAAACTAAGTCAACAAAACATGTTGATATGAAAGTGTGTGATGGTACACTTCTTATCTGTGTCTCCTTCTCTTCGCTGCCCCTCACATTCTAACACACCAATGATTAATTCTAGGACATGTCGGAATCACAAAAAGGAGCTGCACGTTATCACAGCACGTAGAGCCACTGACGTCAACACACATCATATTCCCTGGATTGCATTTACATGTCGTTGCTGGGGGGGCCAGTTCCAGGAAAAGCAGTGACGTCAGCCACTGCTGCTATGTGCTGTGAGTGGGCAGCGCTGAAGCATTTCACAGAGAGGGAGAGAGAGGGAGAGACAGGCAGCAGGCGTGTTGAGAGAGAGAGAGAGAAATAGAAGACAAGCAGAGGCAGTGGAAATATTTCTCGTCAGCTTCAACTGACAGTGGAAAATGAGAGTAATTTATCAATAGATCCTTTGCTTTATTTCAGCGGAGGCAGCTCAATATGTGATCATGAAAAACTGTTGTTTTTTTTAACGGTGGTGTGGGAAAAATATACTGAAAAACATAAATAAATATGTCATGCCTGAAAAACCAATAACACAATCTCTGTTTTTAAATTCAAATACTCCTGATTTAACTGAAGTTACCCCCACATCACTAAGCATGAACTCTACTGAGTATTTCAACTATCTAAGAATGTGTGAACAAATTATAAAATAAGATTTTTAGATAGTAAGTAAAATAGATGATAGCAAACATACCTGTTTCTGTCTCATCCCCCGTTACAGCCATTCTGTATCTGCTCCCCAAGCTTTCCAACAGAAAGTGTTCCCTTCAGAGTCTCCTCTCGGACTGAGATGTTACCACAGCCAACAGCGCGGCTATGTGTGCAATTTACAATTAGAGGCACTGACATCAGCATGACATCACTGGCCTCCTGATGTCAACAGTATGCTGTGCTCTCTCCCTCTCTCTCTCTCCCTCTCTCTCTCTCTCTCTATCCTTGACTTGACACAGTGCTATGAGTCAGGGGCTCTGATGTTCGTCTTTGGGGAGAAATGTTCTTCAGCTCGACTGGAGCACAACACCGAGGAATGCATATATATGTGTGGGTGTGTGTGTGTGTGTTTGGTTTGTTGAAAATGGAAAGACAGCAGAGCTTTATTTGGACTTCAATAAACACACAACCTTTTTAGAGAAATTAACTTTTGCTAAGTGAGCCAGAAATTTGCCAACACACAGTGTTTTTCATTGCCAGAAATAGAAGTTGTATATTTTGGGGTTGCGGGTGTACTGTATTACCACAGTGTGTATTTACTGTATATGTATCCACTGTCACAGCAAAACATAATCTCTTGGCAGATTCAACTCACACTCAAAGCTCGAGGAGGTGGTGCCCTCTACAGGCATTATAGAGGTAAAAACCGAATTGTGTTAGAAGATTATGATGATATTCAATGTTTGTTCTTTATAATGTCTCAACCATCTGAAGAGGGAGTGACTACAGTAAAAGTAATAAGTCAGATCACAGTGAGAAATACTATGTGGTTTAGATTTAGTTACTTGAAGGTTCATTTAGCTTCATATCACCTGATATTTACAGAGATGATGCATTACACCCTGAGCAACTCTACCTATCATACATTTGAGCTTCTCTGGGCTTTCAATTCATATGTGGGCCACTCTTTTGTACACACAGATACTTGGTAGTACACAGGATTGGTTGCAATCATGGCAATAACAACGTTTCCATTTTCTTTTATGTAAAACATTGCCATCTACTTATTACTATAGTATTCATCAATGCCTTGGGGTAAGGACAAAGGCACGGGCGTCTTTGCCCTGGAAAGGTTTGTCTTTTGTAGAAGCTACAACTGTGATTGTTGTGACACTTTTACAACACACACACAAACACACACACACTGTGAAATAAGGCGTTACCATGCAGGTAGAGGCTGTAGTGTTTGCCTTGGTCAAGTAAATATTACTTAATTAGGCTACTTAATTACACAACCCATGCTGCCTTTATGGGGCAATATTAAAGTTTTTACTCCATGGTGTAAATTTCATTTCAAAACCTGCTCAAATGGTGGGTTCAAATTGGTCAAATATTCAACATCTGTATCTGTATGTAATTGTATATCTATTACACTGCATCCCTTTTTGTGGGACTACTATTATTATTATTCCCTTAACTTTGTAAATAAGGAGTTATAAGGACAAAATCAGAGCTAAGAGGGGAGTGAATACTGGACTGACATTGATCTAGAGGACAGAAACATGCCTGTGTGATAACGTTTTGTGTTTGTTGGATTTGAATTTACACTTTACCTATAAAAACTTTATTAACCAAAGTGATGCTGGTGATTTGAAATGTTTGCCTCCCCTCTAGTGGTCATAAATAGTGACTGCAGCTGTAAATGATTTCAGTAGTTTCTACTTATATTGCTGCTTTGTAATTATCACTGTAGTATTATGTATTACTAGCAGAAGTAGTGGTAGTACTATTAGTAGGAGTAAAAGCTTCTGGAGCAACATTAGATTTGCTATCAGCTTAGTGGTACTGAAGATATTTGTCAGTCGTACAAAATAGCATCATGAGCCATTGATTTTTGTGGGTAACTTATTCTAGCAGATAAACAGTATAATATTGAAAGTGCAATTTCCCATTTGAAAACAAGGGGACAACAAACACTGGCATTAGATGGCTCCCTGTGTGTGTGTGTGTGTGTGTGTGTGTTGTCACTCTTGTTTAGTAATTGGTCCAGTTTGTGAAGTATACAACACCAACAGCTAAATAAATTAATAGATCGATAGATAGATAGATGGATAGATAGATAGATGGATATCATCTAACCCTATACAGGATAAGCAGATAATGAAGAAGATCTATGTTTTAAACTGTATTCAATTGTATCCCTCCATTGATATTATTGGTGTGTGTTTTATCCCGTTTATTGACTTTTATATCAACGATTCTGATCTGCTGATATTTCTACCCTTTTATTTCTATTGAACAATGAAATGTAATATCTCTAGAGTAAGATTAGGTTTGTTTCAGGCACAATACTCATATTAGAACTATCTATACATTAAACATTTCATTGATTAGCTGATATTTTACGGGACTTAAAAACAGTAGTAATAAATTCGAGGACAAAT